AGATTGCTGGTGCCCTGATACAGAATGGACAAACCAAGAAACATTATCAGACCAGTTCTGTGCTTGGAACGCACAATCATAGGTAGAGTAGCCTAGTGGTTTAAGCGTTTGCTCACCACGCTGAAGACCCCGGGTTTGATTCCCCACATGGGTACAATGTGTGAAGCCCATTTCTTGTGTTCCCCGCTGTGATATTACTAAAAGTGGCATAAAACTGAACTCAGAACTCAGAAACCACAATCATAGGGTGGCCCAGCAGACTGCAGTACCTTTGAATGGTATTCAGTTCATGACATGGAGGGGTTTAGAGTGACCATTTTGTAATTCTTCGAGAGGGAGTATAGTTTTACGCCACTTTTAGCAATATTCCATCAACATCATTGGCCTTCACACATTGTATCCATGTGGGAAATCGAGCCCAGGTCTTCGCTGTGCGAAGCGAATGCTTTAACCTCTAGGCTACCCCACCGCCCCTCTTGTTCAAGAACATAGGTGATGAATACTGATTTGAAATAGTATTCCGGAGCTATAGCATTGGCTCGTCATCTTGACTTTTGAGACATTCACCATCCACATCCAAAAGCACTGGTGCTAATAGACCTAGGATTCTAACCTATGATCTGTGAATCCTGGCTTGGCCAAGGGAGACAATACATTTGGCACCTTAGACCTACTCTTCAAGGGTAGGCAGTGCAGGAGAGATAGGGACTAGATAATGCCGCTAAAGAAATACTGCTTATACAAGTTAGGGGGGATTCAAACCCAGACAATATGTGAAGCTGGGGACACACTCACAACATGGCCACCTAGAACTGTCACTTATTCAAAGTGTCTTGTAACATATTCTGAAAAGAATATAAGAACAACCGATTCTCTTATATTACATGAGTTCATCTGTCATGTCACAGTTATATGAAAGAATCAAGTTTTCAGTGAGCGAGTTTAGTTTTACGCCGCTTTTACAATATTCCAACAACGTCACAGCAGGGTCACCAGAAATGGGCTTCGCACATTGTACCTATGCAGGGAATAGAACCCAGGTCTATGGTGTGACAAGTGAACGCCTTAACCACAAGGCTACCCCACCATCCTGAATCAAGTCTTCAAATAATGAGTACAGTATACTGGCCTGGAAATCAAACTATGGTGGATGGAGGAAGGATTTATGCTTTGAAGTGCCAGTTGAAAAATTTTATGGCTTTAACAAACATCCCAGACACAGCTAACTATAAAATGGTAGGTTTGCAGAAGGCCAACATACTCAACTTTGGTTGAGGTTAATCAGACATCATTCTGTTTCACTACACACTTGACAATTAATGAGAATAATTTTTGTGTATTGTGAAAAGATTACAATATCCCTACACAAATTGGAATAGTACATATCTTGACTCAATTTATTTCTTGAAGTCATCCTTCATCTGTTTCCATCTTCTCACATCTGTATTTCAAAAAGTAGTTATCACTGACCACAGTAAATGGATCAACTTTCATCATTATATATTTCTGTTTTAGTTTCTATAGTTATGACCAAAATGTCAAAATATCACCATTTCACTTGGGTCATCAATAACTCGGATCTTGTCATGTAAATGTTAAGAGGGCAGTAGAATAAATTCCTTGTCTAAAAGTAGCTATCAAGCACTAATTCCAACCACTTAATCAGGAAAAAACCTTACATTATCATCCTATGGCATTCATATGGTTTCCCTTCATGGTAGTTCCAACTTTGGTGAGTGGGTAAGGTTTTATGCCACGTTTAGCAGCATTCTAATTATGTCACAGCTGGGAATTAAAGAAATTTAAACATTGTACCCAGAGCCTGTAGCATGACTATTTTAACCACTGGGTTACCCCAATGCACCCTTATAACACTGATGTTATGTGGAGACAAGGAATTCCTATGTTACACATTCAGGTCACATGTTACTCTACATCCTCCAGCCTCTGGGTGTCAATTGATGGTATCCTTTAATGTGTGAGTACAGGGAAAACAGCATGCAACAATTTGCTACTGGAATTCAGGAAGAAAACAAGGACATAATCTCAGTCCAAATAACATTCTTCGCTATTATACAGTACAAAGTCATAAATTCCAACATTTACAGAAATTAAAAATTTATTTTACTTAATATTCAATATTTTGTATTTTCAATAACAAAAACAATGTAATGAGATGTCAAAATATACATAAAAGTGTCACCTGTTGTACAAAATTATGATCAAGCTTGAACAATTGTAGCAATGAAATATAAAACATCACCTTAAAAATGCATCTACATTAATCATAAACAAGAATATGAAATAATCCAAAATAGCAGAAAACGAAAGGTATCAATAATAGAAATGAACATGTTATGATGACAATATATTGATGTATTAGGTCCAGTTTCAGATTATGAGTGAGTGAGTTTAGTTTTACTCCGCTTTTAGCAATATTCCAGCAATATCATGGCGGGGGACACCAGAAAAGGGCTTCACACATTATACCCATGTGGGGAATCGAACCCAGGTCTTCAGAGTGACGAGTGAACGCTTTAACCACTAGGCTACCCCACCACCCCCTTCAGATTATGATACAGTAGAACATGGATATAACGAACTCCAAGGGACCAAGAAATTTAGTTTGCTATATCCGTTGTTCATTATTCACATTTGACCGCCATCTTGGATTGTAGAGATGTAGAGACATGTATATGCTGAGGCTGCAAATCTTTATTGGAAGGCCAGTTTGACGTGTGTCCGGTGTTTCACAACAGGATGGGCAGGACAATTGTCTACAAATATCAGGATCTTACGTTTTTGTCTCGTCATACTCTTTTCCAGGTTTTTTTATCCACTCTGTGAATAATTCACCAGTAATCCAGGCCTTGGTATTTGATCTGTACGTTACTGGCAAACTGTGTACATTTGTGAAGCATCTAAGCTTTGCTGACTTCCCTGTGACTAACAACTTAAGTGTTTCACTCCCGGACATGTTTGCCGCTTAATGTATACCGCTAAGTGGCTGAGCTGACACTGAGCTGACACTGAGTGAGTTCGCTAATCACTTCGTTAATTGGGTCTTGGGGGTAGTAAATCAGTTCGCTATAGCCGTTAATTCGCTACTCACGAGTTTGTGATTCCCGTATAATTTTAATGATATTATAAAGGACTATTGACGGGACTTTTAAATTTGTTTGCTATATCCGTTTGTACACTATATCCATGTTCGCTATATCCATGTTTTACTGTACTTCATATTTGCACATGAGTCAAAGGCAGAAAGGGTTTTAATTTGTGAATGGCTTTCTTCAAATGTGAACAAAATGATAAGAAAAGAATAAAATAAAACAGAATCATGTAAATTATATCTCATTGATATATAAAACACTGTAGAATACATGCATTCTTATATACACGACCATGAAAACATATCTTTAACAAATAAAATAAAACATTCTTAACAACAAATTGAACAAACTGTCATGGCTGCAGTTGCTATGGTTACTGCAAGCAGGATTCATTAAAAGTTGAAAATATGAGAAATGAACTATCAGAACGAATAACATTCTGAATTCATGAAAAGGAATAATGACTATCACAATACATAACTACATGTTTCAGAGAATTATCAAATGACTTATGAGAAAGACATGCTTATGATTTAATAAATACTTATAACAGTGAGAACTTGAGGTTATAAACATAAAAATGTGTGACATAACTTAAAAATTATTTGTATTTCAAAAGTTCAATCTTCATAGTTCAATATATAAATACAAATGAAGCGTCAGTACATCTATTGTACTTAGAAGAGAAAGCCAGATAAATCTATGAGTAAATGCAATGACAATGACAATGTTTTATTGTTCTTCAGGCCAACTGACCCATGACACAAAAACATTTACATATATATATCATAATATAATATACTCAAGCTCTGGTTATAACTTATTGTTTCATATATCCTTGAATCATGAAAATATTAAAATACAATTTTCTCAAGCATAAATATTGTTTTTAAAACACTTAATACACAAATGTATCTTAATGTCAAAATAAAGTAGTCACAAGTTTAACCTCATATGTTGAAATGCAAGTTCTGAAAACCTTTTTATGAACATACAACATTTAATACACTATATGAAGTACAATATAACAAACTGCAATGCACATTGGTGGTAAGAAGAATCTACTCTGATAACAGGTACAATGTCTTTGAACGGCATTTAGAAGTGATTACACATGAAAGGTGAGAATATCATACACAGAATATAGAAGGTGACCTACCTAAAACATCACCTTTTACAGGTACAATGTTAAACAAATTACCATTCTGTTAAGGTGGGAAAAGTTTGATTCTGATTGGTTAATCAGAGGTTTCAAATTACAACATATACTGATGGAAATAAATAAGGGAACATGAAAGTACAAGTGTTCCTATATTCCTTTCCAGGTTTCCTTGCTTGCATTGTATTGCACTGTGGGTGAAAACCTTGAAATAAAGGAACACACTTACCTTTATGTGTTCCCTCATTTATTTCCATCAGTATGTATATATATGAATGAAAGAGCTGACTTAACTGCATATCACCACGTAAATATTATTGATAATAAAGTAGGGATGAGAATGGGTATAAGTGGAAAAAGAGGAACATGAGCCGGAGGTCCCCATGCCAGATCCAATGACCCCAGTGCGATCAAATCCTCTGAATTCCATGGATCCGCGGGAAATTCTCATCCCTGATAAAGTTCTCCTTTCGCAGTCATTGTTGGCGGACATTTTGAAATCACATGTGGTAAAATAGGCTACAAACTACTTGGGGTGTGGATGTAATATATGGCAAATATGTTATAAACTACATATTAAAGACGGTCATGCTCAAAATCACAAGCCTCAGTGCTCAGATCAGATACTGCAAGATGTACAGAGTTGAACCTCGTTAACTGGAGACCCTGCTTTCCTTACAACTAGTTGGAAAGTAAATATATCATACCAAGGGTCATAACTCATTAAATTTTGGTACTTGTCAATCTGGATTTTCTTTACTGAAAAGTTATTCACTTGGACTGAGTTTGGTTTAACGCCACTGTTAACAATATTCCAGCAATATCACAGTGGGGGGCACCAGAAATGGGCTTCACTTATCATACCATGTGGGGAATTGAACCCAGGTCTTCGGCCTGAAGAGTGAACACTTTAACCACTAGGCAACCCCACAGCCCCTAATTCACTAGGAATGGCATCATCCAGGTTAACAAGGTTTAACTACATCAAGTGAGTGAGTGAGTGAGTTTAGGTTTACGCCGCACTCAGCAATATCCCAGCTATATGGCGGCGGTCTGTAAATAATCGAGTCTGGACCAGACAATCCAGTGATCAACGAACTACATCAAGTAATGATACTGGGACTACAATGTAAAAGATCTCAGTGGAATCCACAAAATGTGAATGGGACAAGTGCTAGTAGTATAACAACTACTTCAAGGATCATATAGTTCTAAAAGAACTGTGCATGGATACTAAGAAAATTCTTGTGATTAAATTCAAAGAGAGTAGGGATGGAGTAAATTGGCATCTTCAGATTTTGAAAAAGTGCAGTTTCAAATTGTAGCTGTATTAAGCTGTATTGTAATGGGTACAATATGAATGGTTTGCTGTGGTCATCTTTGGGGCACAACATGAATGATCAGATGATGAACTGTCTGTGATTAGATGCTGATGGAGTTTGGCACAATGTCAGGGTCCAGATAGATGTAGGGTGGATTCCTCGTCTCATTCCTGTCTTTCACTGTCTTGCTAACTTCTTTCAAGTCTTGACGGAAACTGTTTGAAAAAAAGAATGTAGTCAGTGAAGTTATGGGTGTTGAATAAACTGAAGAAGAAGACAAGACTCCTTTCACAAAATGGATAAAAATGAAAATGAATTTGAAAGATTAATGAAGAAATAATGAAGAAAATAATAGACTTGTCATATATGATACACTGGTGTGTGAGTATGGTTTTACGCCGCTTTTAGCAATATTCCATCAATATCATGGCGGGGGGACACAAGAAATGGGCTTCACAGATTGTACCAATGTGGGGAATCAAACCCGGGTCTTCGACATGATGAGCCAATGCTTTAATCACTAGGCTACTCCACAGCCCCATATATGATAGTATTAATGAACCTCACAAAGAAAACATTTACAGCAAACTCCATCCTGCATGTACAATTTGTGGGCTCGCTTTAAAAGTTGAGTTGTCTCCCTTTGACAGTTAAGATCTGCCCGTCATGAGTTAACTAGATTATGATCCTTGGCATATCATCACATTAATCTGCTCATGGGTTTCATGGTAAACGATTTATGCCACTTCTTGGGGTCAACACTTACGCATCAACAATGTCCCTGGCCTTGGGGTCAAAGATGTACTGGACCTCAAAGTCTCCGAGATTCTTGGTGCCCCTTTGACTGAGAATCTTGGTGACAGTCATGATGTCCAGGGTCGTGGGCTTGTCTGGCAGAGCTGAGATTATGTCACTCTCTTCCATCGGAGACTGAATCATGAAACAACAGAATTGGGTCACATGTGTGTTACTCAACAGCTATAAGGCAACAGAAGCATCGTTTTCTCCCAAACCTGTAAGAAGATACATGCTCCAGGTAGGGCTTCCCTAAACACTTATTCAGTAAGCTGACAGTGAAGATGGCATTTGTTGGAAAATCCACAAGACCTTTTGCAAGTGATGACTGCCAAAAAATGCACTGTTTTGATAACACTTTAATGCTTTTTAATTGTATGGTGACGACAATCTGTGCCATGGCAGTTGAACTTTAGATCAACAAGTGAACAAGTGAACAAAGTGCATGACTTGGTAATATGGTGATGCTCATCTATATTTTATGAGTGCTTCAATTAACCTAACTAACACTCTTTTTTCAACTGGATGAAAGTAACTAGGGTATTCATTATGGTGCAACAAAGTATCCAGTATTTAGCAAGTATATCCAGTATTATGCAACACCGTATTCAGTACTGTGCAACAGTGTATCCAGTATTGTTCAACAGTGTATACAGTATTGTGAATCAGAGTATCCAGTATTTTCAAGTGTATTCAGTATAGTGTTACAGTGTATCCAGTATTGTGCAACAGTGTATTCAGTATAGTGTTACAGTGTATCCAATAATGTGCAACAGTGGATCCAATAATGTGCAACAGTGTATCCAGTATTGTTCAACAAAGTATACAGTGTGGAGCATCAGAGTATCCAGTATTTCCAAGTGTTTTCAGTATAGTATTACGGTGTATCCAATAATGTGCAACAGTGTATCCAATAATGTGCAAGTGTATCCAGTATTGTTCAACAGTGTATCCAGTATTGTTCAACAGTGTATCCAGTATTGTTTAACAGTGTATCCAGTATTGTTCAACAAAGTATACAGTGTGGAGCATCAGAGTATCCAGTATTTCCAAGTGTATTCAGTATAGTGTTACGGTGTATCCAATAATGTGCAACAGTGTATCCAATAATGTGCAACAGTGTATCCAGTATTGTTCAACAAAGTATACAGTGTGGAGCATCAGAGTATCCAGTATTTCCAAGTGTATTCAGTGTAGTGTTACGGTGTATCCAATAATGTGCAACAGTGTATCCAATAATGTGCAACAGTGTATCCAGTATTGTTCAACAAAGTATACAGTGTGGAGCATCAGAGTATCCAGTATTTCCAAGTGTATTCAGTATAGTGTTACGGTGTATCCAATAATGTGCAACAGTGTATCCAATAATGTGCAACAGTGTATCCAGTATTGTTCAACAAAGTATACAGTGTGGAGCATCAGAGTATCCAGTATTTCCAAGTGTTTTCAGTATAGTATTACGGTGTATCCAATAATGTGCAACAGTGTATCCAATAATGTGCAAGTGTATCCAGTATTGTTCAACAGTGTATCCAGTATTGTTCAACAAAGTATACAGTGTGGAGCATCAGAGTATCCAGTATTTCCAAGTGTATTCAGTATAGTGTTACGGTGTATCCAATAATGTGCAACAGTGTATCCAATAATGTGCAACAGTGTATCCAGTATTGTTCAACAAAGTATACAGTGTGGAGCATCAGAGTATCCAGTATTTCCAAGTGTTTTCAGTATAGTATTACGGTGTATCCAATAATGTGCAACAGTGTATCCAATAATGTGCAAGTGTATCCAGTATTGTTCAACAGTGTATCCAGTATTGTTCAACAGTGTATCCAGTATTGTTCAACAGTGTATCCAGTATTGTTCAACAGTGTATCCAGTATTGTTCAACAGTGTATTGTTCAACAGTGTATCCAGTATTGTTCAACAGTGTATCCAGTATTGTTCAACAGTGTATCCAGTGTTATGCCGACGCCTCCTCCTCACCTTGTCAACTGGCGGCACGCCCCTCATGAGACCAGGGTAGTTTGGGGGGAAGGCATACTCCTCGTACTGGGGGAAGTTGGTAGACGCATGAGATACACTGCATGTGTAGATGATTGTCGTTAGCACCATAATCAGCTGGTCTGTTGTCGTGAACTTCCCATTGGCAGGAACTCCCTGGAAAAATGAAAAGTTCAAAAATCAACCAAATACATCTTTATTCAAGCAACATGATGTGAAAGAGGGAGCCTGTTACAAGGTGCCAAGTTCGATATTGGTCCAAACATATCTTTGGTCTTAAAATGACCAAAGGTCTTCACATATCCACATGAGCAACATGGTTAATGGTGTTACCAGGCAACATATCGGACAATGTTGGACCATTTTCAAAAGTTTTCATATTCTTTGTATACCATTCCAAAAAAGTAGGGGATATTGGATTTACAAGATTGATAAATGCAAATGATGAAGCCAAGGAGGAAACAGATGAGGAAGAGAAATTAATGGAAAATGTGACAATTTCATCTGTATGGATATATATTACTTTTTCTCGCATACATTGGCATTGGCTAGTGGTATGCGTGGTAAATGGAATACCCTACCTTTTTTTAATAGTATATTTGCTTATGATCAGAATACAAAATATGAAACCAATCTTGACCAGTAATGATGTAGAATTCTTACCAGTAAGCCAACGCCTCCTTCCTCTCGAGCTTTTGTCAGTTCATGGCCCCAGTTCTGAAGTTCCCAGTCATCCGTGATTTTCTCTGGAGAATCTAAAATATCAAAACAGCATAACATTTAAATGTATTCAAACATTGGGTTTCAAAATATATGGGAGTGGGTTTAAATGCTGCTTTGAACAGTACTCCAGTCACAGGGGTATATGATATAGTGAGTGAGTGAGTGAGTGAGTTTAGATTTACGCCGCTTTCAGCAATATTCCAGCAATATCATGGCGGGGGACATCAGAAATGGGTTTCACACATTGTACCCATGTGGGGAATCGAACCCGGGTGTTCGGAGTGACGAGCACACGCTTTAATCACTAGGCTATCCCACAGCCCCGGTTATATGATATAGCTTCCCTGAGGGCCGATAGTTAGTATTATTGAGAGTTAATGCATTATTTATTTTTAGAAGTGTGTGGTGTAAAATAGTGCCTTTAAAATAGTTGGATTGTCTGGTTTTCGATCAGGTTTTTAGCATCGGGAGTGTCACCCCTTGTGTATATTATGTAATGAGTGTAGAGGTAGAATTTTCTATTAAAAATTTTTTTCACTGATTTTGTTCAAGTTTGGAATATATGTTATTCATAGCATATGATTGCAAAAGTATAGATTTATATTTTTAAAAATTATTGTCTAACCGGTGATTTGAACCCCTGTGATTTCAGATATATGAAATTGTGTCAGCTTAAAAGGGGAAGAAAACTTCAATCGCAGACAACTCTAATGAAACCAAAACAGAATCGTAATTTGGGTGAACTGGGTTTTGAAACCACAATCATAGGTTTCTGTCATACCCAAGTAACAACAAAGTCGACTAGAATATTGAATTACAAGCTTCTCCCAAACTAATCAAATGACATGCATTTATTAATTATTAAGAAATTAAAAAAAGCTATTCTTTGTTTTAAAGCCAGTTCATTCAAAAGATTAGAAATATAACTTATATAAAACATCTGTTCAAATAACTTTTCAGATATTTTTATTCAATGTGTTAGTGGTTTTTACACTGGGTTCTTTCTCTGTATAGTTGGTTGGTTAGTTTGTTGTTTAACGCCGCACTCAACAATATTCCAGCTAAATGGCGGCAGTCTGTAAATAATTGAGTCTGGACCAGACAATCCAGTGATCAACAGCATGAGCATCGATCTATGCAATTGGGAACCGATAACATGTGTCAACCAAGCCAGCGAGCCTGACCACCCGATCCCTTTAGTCGCCTCTTCCGACAAGCATGGGTTACTGAAGATCAGTTCTAACCCAGATCTTCATGGGTTCTCTCATTAATACTCACCATAGTACAGCTTGACATATTTGCTTGCATAAGCATTGATGGCTTTGTACAGTAACAATGCATCGTCACGGAAATGGTAACCAGGCAACACACTCAGATCATCAAGCTTAAAAAGAAAAAAATAATATTGCAGAATTTGAATTACATAATTACATATTATCACAATATCATCATCATCATCATTGGTACTTCATTTTTTGATTTTCAAACTGTTCATGTATGGGTGATACACTGAAGATGCGAGGATAAATTGAGACATGTTTAAGATAGGGAACTTATATATAAGAACAATCTGAAAGTACTGGAAAGTATCTTTTCATAAAAAGAAAATACCACAAAATGTAAGAGCACTGTGAGTAACTAAGTACAGATTCTGAGTCTGTCAGTGTTTAATCTTGTACCTTACTTGAAGTTATTGTAACACCAAACTAGATTATAATACATAAAATAACTGGCGTATTTCGCCATTTCATTATATTCAAATTTATTAAGGAATCCATTATAGTTTGGCATGAAATGCATGTGGACCCGTTTTTTTGTAAATACCTCTTCATCCAATGACCCAATCGATCTTAAACTGTGGATGTTGTGTCAGACAACCTAATCACATTGTAAATCACAGTTTTTATGCATTTGTATTAAAGAATCTGTCTATGTAACTGTCAACAAAATAAACAGCAGAACGCAGAATGCTTGCAGAGGGAGGGAGCCAATGACCTGTAACAGCGTACAGTATTTGAGTCAAATACGCAGGAATTATACATCACGTAAAATCCTCTGATTATAACATTGTGTGTAGTGGGAATAAGTATGTATACTGACCCCTCTCCGTCGCAGATCTTCAGGTAGTGTTCCATGAACATCCAACCGCCATTGCTCCAGGCTGAGGACACAAGGGAGATAACTCTTGCAATACTATTGTAAATATGGTTCACAACCATAGAGACAAAACATCATTGCCTTTTCTTTTATTAGATCATTTACAAACCTCAAGGCATAAAATTAAAATTAGAAAATATTACATCTGTTATTTTAATGAAAGGTACTAAATATCTGAATATTTAATAAAACTATTTGGCTGTCAACACAAGCAGAGAACTGAATACAAAGGAAAACTGTATCACCTGCAAAATGTCAGTGATAACACATGCCTGTACATACCTAGCCTGTCTCACAGTCCTTGAAACATATTATTTTCCCTACTGCCTAGCCCTCCCTGCAATGCTAGAGCCCTAAATAAGTTTAGAATTTTCCCAGAAATCTCTTATCTCCCTGGGGATCCTTTTCATTTAGATGGATTTATTTGTTACAATCAAAATTATATATGTTCAGAGACTAAGCGTTAGTTTAGTACATACCCTCTCTTAATCAGCTCGAACATTCCAGCCATGCCACCATTCATTGTCTTGTCCACCCAGCCTCCCTCACAGACGAGCATCTCCAGGCCACGGCTGAAAGAAACCAGACTTGTATAAATAACATCCATCCAGGCTGATATATAAGTATATAACCAGTCAGCTGATTATAAAAGCTCTTTTACCACAGTCTGGAATTCGTCACTTCTTACATCACACATCTTGTTGCCCAGCAACAGTTCCTTATCTCTAAAGTATGTGAGTAATTTGGTGCTGGCTCTCAGACAATAGGTTTTGACACTCATTGTTGATGGCCTCTTTTTATAGGTTAGACAGTTTGTGTGAGAATCCTTGTCTTCATATTAATTAACAGTACAGGAGGTAAGGTTTAAGGTCAAGCAGAGACCATATTATATGGTCTCTGGGTCAAGGCTATGGGCAGAGTTGCCTCCCTTATGTGTCGGAACCAGAAGCACAATTATGGATGTGTGATCTCCATGATCTGTCTGGGTCCCAATCCATAAACATTGTCCAGAGAGCTTATGGATTCTGATGACCACAAATGTTACATTATGCTGTATGCTGTGCACAAAAAACAACCTGCTTTTCCAAATCTGACTTTATTAAAATTCAACTAGGGCCCTTATTCTCGAAACGTTTGTAGCCCTAAGAATTCTTAACTTTGTAGCCAACGTGTTAAGAATGGGCTTAAGAAGTTCATAGGGCTAAATACGTTTCGAGAATAGCTAGCCATGATATTTTATCATACAGGTATATTCATATGAGGTAAGAGATAATTCAGGTAAATCTTTATCATCTCAGGGGAAATTCATATTTTAAAGTGCGTGATTAAGATGTTATGTCTCTTTTAGCAATATTTCAGCAACATCATGACAGGGGGACCCAGAAATGGGCTTCACACATTGTACCATGTGGAGAATCGTACACATGTCTTCAGTGTGAATAACAAGTGCTTTAATTAGTTGGCTACCTCAACGCCCCAATATTCATAAATATAATGTCATATAACAACATTTAACATACTCTCAGGGTGTTGAATAATTTATCAAGGCCACACTGTATGCATGAGTCAAATCACTAAACACGACAGTAGTAATGTGCAGCATGACACGTTCTCAAATCTGACACTTGTTCCTGTTAAATGCCAGTCTCAGCTCTTCAGAAAAAAACTCACAGACTTATGGATCCATATGTCAAACAGCCTCATACGGTGTTAATAACACAACAAGAATAATTGCTCCACACAAAACAAACAATATTAACTGTCTCCATTGCCTGAAGTGTTGGACACTCATTGCAAAGTAATTTCCAAACTGCCCAGAAGCTGAATAAACAGAAATACATCCCCTAACTCACACCAACATCTGTATCTGATTGCTCGATTGATCCCACACAGGATGATACAGAATTATATCACCCCTGAGATTTAATGCTTTACTATGCATATATATAGTTGTCATGGGTTGTTTGGATTTGGACAATTGGTTCCTGATTACGAGCAATTTGTTGTGACATCATTTGCATGTGCACACAAACGTAGTCACGTAATATTATTCCTGTTATGCAATTTGTTTTTACGATCCGAGGAATGGTTTCTCTAAGTGATATCTGCCTTGTCCATGTTTGATCTGCGAAGTGATGGGTGTCAGTGAATGTTGATTTATCATGAGGATTTACTCATTACCACATGGAACATATTAAGTCCTTTTCAGTGAAGCCTAAAGGTTTTTGTTTTAGGAATTACAGAATTGTAACATATTGAGCCCCATATTAAGGAAGCTAAAATATTTCTCTTTTAGAGATTACAGAATTGTAACATATAAGGCCATTAAACAAAGATGTTTCTATTTCAGGGATTCCAGAATTTTAACATATTGAGCCCCTTTTGTAGGAAGCTAAAACATTTCTGTTTCAGAGATTACAGAATTTTAACATATTAAGCCCTGTTTCCATGGGGTAAACATGTTTCTATTTCAGGGTTTACAAAAATTGTTTACAAATTATCCCCCGTTTCAACAAAATCAAGAGTTGACCAATTTCATTTTCTGAAAATTCAACACACTGATCATGTTTAGGTCTGTTTAATTTTTCAGAACAATATGTATATTTAAGAATCAGGACTCAGTAAAACACATATCCCAAAATCGCTAAAATGTCAAGCCTAAGCCCCAAGTGTCCTTTATGAAGATACACAAATACATTTCCTTCCTGTGTGTTTCCTTCATTATGCTTTCACGGAATTTAGTACACTGAAACGTAATTTAAATAATACCCAAACAGTCTTTTTACTAAGCATCTGTTAATATTAGACTTTCTGGTCTCTTAATTAGTCAAATATATAATATCCTTTGTCATTATATACACTTGTATTAGTATTTGTCTTGTTACTCTGACTTATAATATATCTCCTTTATGTAGTTTATAGAATATTGTCACTGTTTCTACATGGAACGTTTACGCAATAAAATATCTTGTATCTTGCATTTTGTATTGATGATGTAAGTATTCAATACAGGTATTCAAAATGTTTGTCAAAACCTAAATCTTTTTGGAGGGCAGCAATATCACAGATTTTCTCAAATAAAGATTCAGAGTTCCTGTGTAAATGTTTTAGTTTCACTCATTCCTGAAGTTAACACACTGATGTGTACTGATACACTGTCCCAGTGTGTTTAGCTCTTTCTCTACATGTCCCTGTCAGGAGCTGCAAGTGGAGTACTCACGTGTTTATAGCTATCAGGTAGAGGAAGTGTGGTGCGAGGAGTTTGAAGAGAGGATGCGACTGAGACAGGTTCCGATGTGTTGCCACGGTGACACCTTCCATCAGCAAATGTGTGTACCCTGGAACAAATTATAAGTAAAAATGTCATTTTTTTTCTGAAAACATCATTCAAAGAAAAAGAACTTGTTGCATCAGTAGGGCAAACTCTGTAAAGTATTGAAACCCAACTGTATTGAGTATGGGTGAACCAATAAGAAACATTCTAGATAGGATTCCTTTCTTGATATATTCTGTGGTCTTGATTTATTCCATAGGGTCTTGATGTATTCTATAGGGTCTCGGTCTATTCTATAGGGGCTTGATTTATTCTATAGGGTCCTGATCTATTCAATAGGGTCTTGATCCATTCTTCAGGGTCTTGATCTGTTATATAGGGTCTTGATCTACTCTACAGGATATTGGTTTATTAAGCAAGGTCTTGATCTATTATGCATTGCCTTGATTTATGAAAAGAAAAACACATAATAAATATTGGGGCCTTATGAAACCTGCTTTGACACTTAGGCACACATACATAACAAGCTAGGGATGGGTTAGGTATTGTGTACCTATGATTAAGCCATAATGTTCGTGATTTCAAAACCCAATGAGCCATTGACAAGAGCACCAGGAACTGAACAATACCACCAGCGCTGCCTTCACACAAGACTGATCAAATCAAGGTAACAATACCCGCCGGACAATACCCGCCCGTCAATACTTCCCACCATCCCTACTCAATACACACGAACAGCATTACGGCCAGCTTCCGTTACGGCCCACCCCTGAAAACACCCAGCCATCAACGATACACTCTCACTCGATCATGTACACTTTAGACATGCCAGGCCTCAAAATGATTAACTTTTCAATAGACACTGTTTAAATGCATCAGAAATCAATGTCAACAAATATCCTGTCAATGATCAAAATTTTAACAGCTTAATGTATTGACTGAGCCAAATGAGCTGTGGGTATTGTGGATCCCTGGAATTGTAAAACCATAGAATAAAATGAAATAAAAGCTGGACTGATTAATGTCAACTGGGTTCAAACCAGACTTAGAACACCATTACACTGTAATTCCAGAACACAACCTATTAACAAGTCATTCTGGCTGCGATACTCTGGCTCGGATCAATAATGGCAGGGAATGGTTCCAAGGGACACTTCCCAAACTTTGTAAAGGGTATAAGGTTCCGCTTGTGTTGAAAATTCCATGAACTTTATATATATTAATGCATTTCATGAAGCAATTACAATGAAACAGAGGACCTAACTGGGGAATTAACTCCTGACTCCATTATTCCTAATGCTTTGCCAATCTCATTTTCGGATTCAGCATCCACTACAACTGAACGACTTAAAGTCAATCACATCCCTCATGATCCAGTGTATCATGTTTCCATTGCATTATGATACATACCCAGGACTATTCACTGACATAACTTTGACTTGAGTTCAATGCCAAAAACACAAAAAATTGTGTAATTTCTATTAAACCAAGATATGAGAGACTGACTGTCTGAGTTTGGTTTTACGCCACTTTTAGCAATATTCCAGCAACATCACGGCGGGGACACCAGAAATGGGCTTCACACATTGTACCCATGTGGGGAATCGAACACGGGTCTTCGGCGTGACGTGCCAACACTTTAACCACTAGGCTACCCCACCGCCCCAGATATGAGAGAATATATGGAAGTAACAGGCTAAGATGTCACAGTACCATGCCAACAGTACCTGTGAAGATACGGGTAATTTGCCTTCAGCAACCCATGCTTGTCTTAAGAGGTCACTAACGGGATCGGGTGGTCATGCTGACTGACTTGGTTGACACATGTCATATTCCAGTAGATAAATGTTCATGATGTTGGTCACTGGATTGTCTGGTTCAGACTTGATTATTTACAGACATATAGCTGGAATATTGCTGACTGCAGCATTAAACAACAAACAAACAAATCCATGCCAGCAGGTGGATCTCAGGTAGTTATGGTAACAGCATGGCTGTATTATACACAGGATTACCAAAGATGGTTTGGACAATCTCAGAGAAACCAAATAAAATAACAAGAAATGCAGAAATGAACTCATCACATAAGCAGATGAACCGGGTGTGTTTGATAGTCTGGATGATGCTTCCTTGTTGTGTAATGTTCTTAGAAATATGATTACAACCATTTCCTTCCCTGTTCCTGACAAATGTGTCAGAGTCGGAACTCAACACAATTAGCAAATCAGAACCTGCAGCACTAAAACCATCCCGCATTTAAAGATCTCTATCGCAAGAACAATCACAATACAGGAATGGTCTCTGGCACCATGGAACCCATTTCACTCTAGGCCTGAACACTGTAAGCCAGTTGGAGCCACTGTGCTAGATTCATACCATTCATACCATTCGAGGTGCAGCAAGGTGACATTTAATAATGACAAATAACTTGTGAGAAATGTGATTTGGTTTCAATTAAATCCTGTTGTATTCTAAGGCACCAAAACCTAGATACAGTCATCCCTCGCAATAACGCTCTTCGTGATACCGCAGATTCAGTTAAACCGCAGGGTAATCCGTGGCTCCCATAAAAAAGTTGCCCAGTGATCACACATATTCACGTCATCAAAAATAGCACATCAACAAATCCGCTCTTGAGCTCTGGTTAATCACGTTGTAAACTAGTGAAATTCAGTGCGGATTGCAATTAACAGTGTTTATCGTACATATCCATGGTTTTTCAGATGCTTAAAACATGCAGGGTTTTTTTTCAATAATAATAGATGAACAGCGAAACATCGTAATAACTTTATTATAAAGACATGTCGATCATCAGCCGAGTACTTACAACGTTTGCTATGATGCAACACACCGCGTAATTGCGCGGGTAAACACCGCCATCCGAGAATGTATGATGTCAGAAAACACATTTTATTTGATTTAATTCAATCCCATTTTCATTCATTAAAACTGTTTACAATAACAACGGAAAAACCGTGAGTGACTGACTGACTGACTGAGTCTAGTTTTACGCCGCTTTTAGCAATATTACAGCATTATCCCGGCAGGGGACACCAGAAATGTGCTTCACACATTGTGCCCATGTGGGGAATCGAACACGGGTCTTCGGCGTGACGAGCCAATGCTTTAACCACTAGGCTACCCCACCACCCCAAACCGTGAGTGAAATGGCATTACCTCATTCCATACAACGCCCGGCTTACCACATTCATGAGGGTCCGTTTTTCGCGCCTACCGCGATAGCACCAATTTCACATTTTTCTCAGCAATCGCGAACAGATTACAGCCTTGTCATCCATTGACCCCAAGACCCGCGTTATTGACTCATTGAAGTCATATTTGACAATTAATTGCCGACATTTTGTTTTTACAATCAAAGTGGCACGTACCGCGGGAAGTCAGCAGTAACTTGTCAAACTGTCTCCTACGTAAAATGTATCCAGTCAGGTAACCCAAAGTGCTCAGCAATGCTAATTATTATGCTAAAAAATGTTCGTAGAAAACATGCATTATACTTATACGATAGCAATATATAAGATCTCTGTTAGAATAACTGCTTGACATATAAATTTATTCTGATAATGGAATAGAAATTCTTTGATGTTATATTTTCGGATCGTTTTTAACTGAATCACCGGTACATTGGACCAAAACATCGATGTGTGCCCAGCTGATTGCTATTTCCGGCTTAGTTGAATAACAGGTAGCATGACAGGAACAACAATTGAATTATCATGTCTTGTGATGTTTGATTGCAAGTTTCATGTACATACATCTATTTTTGATTTACAAAGTTTTGGTGTTTTTCACCTCCAACAATACGATATAGTTTTGACTGGGCACAATACACAAAATAGCAGTTTTGTTATGTCCATGGAAAATACGATTTTACTTGGCCTTTGTTCCGCGTTATGTAATCGTTACTATAACGCGGGTGTCTAATAACGCGTGGGGTCATCCATGGACCCCAAGACCCGAGCTATGGCGAGGGATGCCTGTAATACATATTGTGATATATGGGGAACTTAAGTGTTTGACAGTGAGTGACACTAATTGTGGATGTCGATCCTATTTTCTACATTTTAAGTCCCTAAACATATATGTTATGGTTCTGATAACAGCAATCTCAAAATTAGGTTGCATGGTCATGGATTCTGTTTTCCTCTTTTATACAGTTTATAGTATTACACTATGCCGTTTTGTGCTTGAATAATGAAGGAAAACATCTGTTGTGAATGAAAGTCTGTGTAGATTTATTTTAGATCATAAAGATAATCACAAAACTTCATATATGTTCTTTACCCAACATACCCGTTCTCAGAAAAAATTATTGTAATACTTATCATTTGAAAAGCATACTGCGACATACCAGTATACCATGCAGCCCTAGCGATGACTTACACATCTAGGTAAGCGTGATGCCAAAGACCATTCTACATTTGGAGATCCCTAGCAGAAAAGGGGCAGTGGGGAAACCTAGGAGTTTAAAGCGTTTGTTAATTGTGCCAAAGACCCTGGTTCGATTCCCCACATGAGTACAATGTGTGAAGCCCATTTCTGATGTCCCCCTACCATGATATTGCTGGAACATTGCTAAAAGCGACATAAAACCAAACTCACTCACTCTAGTAGAACCATCACAAGACCTGAATGGTCTCCGGCACCATGGAACCCTTTTCACTCTAGGCCTGAACACTGAATGCTAACTGGAGCTAGTGTCATATTCATATCATTCAAGTCGGCAGACAAGGGGGTGTTTGAATTATATCATGCTGTAGTCTAAGGCACCAAAACCTAGCTGTGAGGACGAGTGACGACTTACCTAGATGTGTGAGAGACTGGTGATACATGGCATCGCAGTTGTTGTACCACATCTTCACCATTGCCCAGGTGTTGGGAGGATCTGTCGGGACGAACACCTACAAACAAAAGGATTATTGCAGTAAAATAATGCAGTAAAATATTTATGCTTTCTAAAAATATGTTTTGTGATCATGGTAATGCTCACTGACTGACTGACTGACTGACTGACTGAGTTTGGTTTTACGCCGCTTTTAGCAATATTCCAGCAACATCACGGCGGGGGACACCAGAAATGGGCTTCACACATTGTACCCATGTGGGGATTCAAACCCGGGTCTTCAGAGTGACGAGCCAACGCTTTAACCATTAGGCTACCCACTGCCCCTGGTAATGCTGACAACAAGTTCCTTAAACAACTTGAACTTCCCCAAACTATCACACAGTGTGTATAGGCCACAGGATGACCCAAAGCGTTATCCAAGCCGGCCGATAATACTTCATAGTCTAAGTTTCCTTAAAGGATACTGATTTTGGCAATAATGCATTCGTGGCAAGTTGTTTACATCATAAACTGCCATTGAGTGTCTCCCCCAAGACTCAAAATGTTTATATACTAATTAAATGAAGTTAGAGAATGCCCAATTGTTTCCTGTGACTATCATTAAACTGTTATCAACACAACAGAACAATAATGTAGACATATGGAAAGATTGTATTCCTAATCATCTTTTGAGTAGTATATACACCTCTCTCTTGCAGTTGACTAGTACCTTAAATACACAATGTTATTAATAGTTACTCAGAAGAACTAATTATAACATCTGTTATTTTCAGGCCTCTTTTTTAAAATAAATTAAATTATTTTAAATTCTGATAATTCTGTGAATTAGTTACCTTATTTAAAATGGATACCATAACATTACAGAACCAGTCATTCCTTACTCCACTTCCATCTAATGAGAAATAATCAAATACAATCCACATTTTCTTTAAAAAGTCACAAACTAAATCATCTTAGCTCTTTCTGGTGTCTTTTAATGAGTACAGCATTTCAATAATGACAACCAGGTGCCATGTATTTAAAGACTGGGTTTTTTAAAAAAAAAAAATGGTTTGAAAACAGGCAGCAATTTTATGATGGTAAGTCAAAGACTGATTCTCCCACCCATGAAGTTGGAGATCAGCAACCAGGACCTAATGTGAATGAGCAAACCAACAACAGGCTGATTTTTGACTGAATCACAAGTATACAATGGGGTCTTGCTCCTTGTCAACTTGAATGAACACTGCAGGCAATGACTGAAGTGCCATTGTAAGCCACATGAGAAGAAAAACGTCAATTCAAATCAACGTTTTCCAAAGCCACAAACTTACATCTAAACACTGGTATATTGCTCACTTAGACAAATATAAGTGATATCTTCTCTACTCAGTATCACTGGTCTGTATCCACTAACCCCAATATAAAGTGTACTAGCTGAATACTGAAGGTCCACAAACAAAGGCCAAGGACTGTACCACCTTATCAAAGGCCAGCAGTCGTGAAAGTAATACTCTTGTCACCAGCCAACATAAAGGCCTTTCATGTACCATATACTGCCACTGCCAAGTTCAAATCCACACACTGAAAATACAGTCTGATGGATGTGATATCAATGAATGGATTACTATCTCTATCTATATATAATCGGGGAGTCTATGCGATATCTATCTACACCGTGTACAGTGAATCCACAACACAAGGACACATTAACCCATACACCTGCAGCCATATAAGTGAACGGTTGACAGCACTCAATGACCTCTAGTCTTATTCAATACTCTCTTCATCAGATCTTCATTGATTAAAGGTTTTAAAAACAATTGTCACACCTGACTAATGCTTTTTTAGGGTAATGGCCATACATTTAAATTACCTGGCAGCAAAGTTAATGTTTCTAACAATCCTTAGTTCTCACAGAGGTACCCGTGAAGATCTTTGTTTAAATAGATCTTCAGCAACTCATGCTTGTTGTAAAAGGCGACCAACAGGATGTGGTGGTCAGGTGCTGACTTGGTTGACACATGTCATCATATCCCAGTTGCGTAGATCAATGCTCATGCTGTTGATCACTGGATTGTCTGGTCTAGATTTGATTATTTACAGACCCCAAATATATAACAGGAAAAATGCTAAGTGTAGCGTAAAACAAACAAACACATCAAATCTACCAGAGGTTGGACTGATACAAGGGCCAGAATTACAGCAGCATCCATCTCTTTGCTTATCCCATACACTCTTTTCCCATATATTACCAGAACGCAAACAAATCCTTCTTAACATACATACTGCTCTCATTTGTTTTTCCCATAATTAATTAGTATTACATGATATCTCACTATTGAGGTGCCTGCATTAAACACTGCTTATTACACTCTGTTCTGATACGTCTGGTTTATAGAGAGCATATTATACACATTAAAACCACAAAAGTACATTTACTTTTGCCATACAGAAAGAAATACCACTATATTCTGTACTCTTACCTATTTAATTGGTTTACCCTTATTATCAGGGGCGGTGGGGTAGCCAAGTGATTAAAGTGTTTGCTCATCACACAAAGACCTAGGTTCAACTCCCCGCATGGGTACAATGTGTGAAGCCCTTTTCTGGTGTCCCCCGCCGTGATATTGCTGGAATATTGCTAAAAGCGGCATAAAACTAAACTCACTCACTCATTATCATTTCTAATCTTGTTACTGTTATACTGGTGATTATGGGTTTCAAAATATGGTAAAAATCTAAACAGACCTGAATGACCTCATGCTTCCCACCTATATAAAGTAACATGTGGTATAACTCATATATTTTCCAAAGAGACGTTAACCACCAACTCACTTCTCTTTTAAGACCATTCCTATCCTAAAACCTGCTTTTACTAACCATCATTACAATCATAATCATATATACTACTCAAAACAAGTTAAGATTGCCCATTTCTTTCATAACACTATGTCATGGGGCGGTGGGGTAGTCTAGTGGTTAAAGCGTTGGCTCATCACGCCAAAGACTCGGGTTCGATTCCCCACATGGGTACAATGTATGAAGCCCATTTCTGGTGTCCCCCATCATGATATTGCTGGAATATTGCTAAAAGCAGCGTAAAACCATACTCACTCATCTGTATGAAACACCCAAATGTTATTAACCAGCAATTTTTAGAGCTGAGGTACATAATTTGAGAATGCTAACTTTAAACATTTCCACCTATCCTTGTAGGTCATTCACCCATTGAGACTGACAGTTTTATCAAGTACAGCTCCTGAACAAATACGTCATGATTTATATATTTAAGAATGCCGAACAAACAATTAGAGGGTGTGGTGTAATAACGGGCTATATTGTTGACCTGGGCATACCAACTGCAAATTATACACCACTCTGTAAACAGCTGGTTCTGTAACACCACCAGAGCACAATGGTCACGGAACGGAAACATGTTTGACGTCACAAATACCGAAAACTTAGATACCTCACTATAAATGTTTGCATTGAAATCCAACTCTGTTTAACCAGTAGATCATTATAAAGTAGGACAGCTAGGGTGGGTAAGGTGGTGTCACAAGTATATTTCCAGAAAACGTTTGATTTTGATCACTTGTAATCGTAAAGAGAGACCATTAGCCAAATGTTTCACCATTGGAGTTAATACATATATATTATTCTTAATTGGGTGTCAGGGATTGTGGTTTCTGGCAGGAGGTTGTCAACAGTTCATTCCCAGAAAAATTATCTTTATGACGTGTAATGATAAATACAGACTATTATTAGCCAAATGTTCCAATATTGTAAATATCATATTTTTATTGATAATATTTGATATTTACAATATAGGAATACAAATGTGTATTTCTTTATTACTCTGAAAATGGCAGAAGTTCAAGATACGGAAGAAACTAATCATGAACATGATGAACACAATTCTTTACGTCTCGATGTATTAATAACTGCAATATGATTTGCAGCCATGTTTGTGTCCAAGCATGCACACGACAAACATCTATCTAAACTTTAAGGGAACATTAGATTTTAGTTTATCAAGCAGTATATGGAGTATATTAAAAGTATTTCCTGTTTGGTGAACTCATTTGCATATTTATAACATCTTGATACCGAGTATATCACACTGGTGTATCACACTGCCAACACTTCTAATACCTTTCACTGGATGTGTACACGACCTTGTTTGTTTGTTTGTTTGTTTGTTTGTTGTTCAACACCACTCTCAGCAATATTCCAGCTATATGGCAGATGTCTGTAAATAATCAAGTCGGACCAGAAACTCCAATGATCAGCAGCATGAGCATTGATCTACGCAATTGGATACGATGACATATGTTAACTAAGTCAGTAAGCCTGACTATTCAATCCTGTAAGTCACCTTTTACAACAAGCATGGGTTGCTGAAGACCAATTCTAACCCGGATCTTCACGGGTACATGACCATGTAAAATCCTGTACACCATCAGCTCATCTTAATCATTCTACTGACAAAAATCCATCAAAGATTTATAAAATCATCGAAACCAATTGCCCTTTGCAGGCAACTTGGGAGAAATCACTTTATTTTATTAATTCGTAGAGGTGAGTTGTAATAGCAGTCCTAATTTCCAGAGCATGAATTCAGAAATGTTTGAGTCCAATCCTGGAATGTTTACAGATATTTGCTGCACAATAAGGCCCAAATATTACCCTCAAGGCAGGTCTAGATAAATCCCAGCCCCCATTACTTGATGCAGTGAAATAAATTCAAAATGGCCACTACCAGTCATCAAAAAAGGCTGTGGTTACATAGTTTGCTTCCCATATGTTTTTCCAAACCTTTTCTCGTATCATTTTCTAGTGAGGGGAAACAAATGGACTCAAGCACACCACACATTGTTCCTGGCTGCAACTCAAAGCTTTCAGGATGCAATGTTCACATCTCAAATTTGCCAATAAACAAAATTAGATCTGCAAACGGCACAGCCATGTCATTAGTTGTCATATTTCCTTGGGGTTCTTTTCTGTATGATGGGGGTAAAATACTTGAATAAAAAAGTGGTCAACAATAATCTTTGGTCTCTGTTCCTCCTGCAATTGGACTTTGTAAACTTACAGGATTGTCTGGTGCCCGTTCCTGGAAGAGTTGTATTGCTATGGGAACAAGACGCTTGTTACTGTTAACGAAGAACAGGCCAATGGGAGCACACATCTGCAAGTATAATATAGTACTGTCAACAGTCGAGTCATCACTGACATGCACCTCTAACCTCGCCCACTTTCATTCGTGGAACATGTCAGAGAAGGAAATGAAGACCAGCAGCAGTGAAAGCAAATTAATCAACAACAAATTCACCATCACATGGAACCGTTACTCCTGGATTGCTTGTGTCCCCTAGTGGTTTCACTGCTGCAAATCATTGTAGACAAACTATATGACATTTAACACTGGCAGACAAAACCTACCCTGGAGAGCACTCTTAATTGACGTCAAGCGGCAACATAGTACATATAACTCCCTGACTATCAATATTAAACAACAGGCAGGATGACACAACACAGACTTTAACTTTCTAATGCAATAACTGTAAGTGATGCTAAACAATGTGAATAAAGTCATCAAAGGTCATCAAAGAATTATGTACATATATCATAGATTTCTAAACTCTATTTCAACTTGTCTATTAGACTGTTATAAGCTGTTTTGCTTCATAACCTGAGCCGTTTTAAACTGTCATGACAACCTGGTCTGCTTTAATCTGTCATGATAACTTGATCTGCTTTAGACGTTGATTATAACCTGATCTGCTTTAGACTGTCACAATAACCTGATCTGCTTTTCGTGGTCATGACAACCTGATCTGCTGCAAACTGTCATTTAAACCTGTAATGCTTTAAACTGCCATGATAACCTCCTCAAACTGTGATGGCAATTCATGACAATCCGATCTGCTTTAAACTGTCATGACAATCGATCTGCTTGAAACGGTCATGACAATCTGATCTGCTTTAAACGGTCATGACAACCTGATCTGCTTTTCGTGGTCATGACAACCTGATCTGCTGCAAACTGTCATTTAAACCTGTCATGCTTTAAGCTGTCATGATAAACTCCTCAAACTGTCATGCCAATTCTGGTTGGCCTCTAACTGTCATGATAACCTGCCCAGCTTCAAACTGTCATGATAACCCATTCTGCTTCAAGCTGTCACTCACTCACTCACTTTAGACATTAAATACTTACAACAAAGTTTGGTCGATGAGGAAGGTCCTTCAATATTTCATAATCACAGATAAACAAACGTTTCTTGCGGATTGCTGATTCAATTGTCTCTCCTTCTAATAATGGCTTGAGCATGTCTTCATCTACTGCTAATCTGGAAGAGAAGGACCAGTTACATTTACACCATGAGAACAATTCACCAAAAAGGCACCAGTTCACCACTACATCTTCTCTTAAGTGCCAAGTTTGGTTAAAAAGCATTGTATGTTTTTCTAGAACTTCTCCTGAAATAGCGGTATCGCAATTTACCATCAAGTCTGAGTAGCTGCCATGGAAACATTTAATGAGAATTCCAAACATTTGAAACTATAAAAATGACCCAGGAAACCACTACTTCTATCAAGGTAGTAATATTGGCGACTTTCCAAGATTGCTCAAGAAACGGCATCTAGCATGGACTACCGAACGTGATATAACAGGAGACACAGTGTTGTCAGGGCTGTCTTGAGGTAAATTTACAAAAACAGACGCCATGACTTTAATGTTTCTGATAAATACACATACAGAATATTCATAAAAAAGTATACAATCATTTTTTCTTATTACGAGATATATCCGCTCTGGTGCTCCAGCTTGTATTGATTACGACTAAGACAACATGTAATGTGGAGACACATGACCCGTGAAGATCCAGGTTAGAATTGGTCTTCAGCAACTCAGGCTTGTCGTAAGATTCGACTAACGGGACCGGGTGTTCAGAACCAGCTTCTGTTCTTGCTCTGATCATGCATGCGAATTACACTGGTAATGGGTCAGGGATTTCTTAAAAAGGACTTACTTGTCTGGAATGCTTTTACACAACTTGATGAGCGAGTGATTGAGACTGGCGATCCTCTGGTGGCCGAAGTAGATATCATTGCTCCATCTGTCAGCCCCCTGCGGATCAAAGGAACATTGTAGAGAGCTCCTGGACATTACATACACTATACCCTGTACACAACAGTGTAGACTTACACAAGCTATACATGAAGATTACCATGTAACAATAAGATTGTCACGATACACTTGTGTCATGAAGTACTTGTGTCATGATACACTTGTGTCATGATACACATGTGCCATGATACACTTGTGTCACGATATACTTATGTCATGATACACTTGTGTCACGATACACATGTGCCATGATACACTTGTCACGATATACTTATGTCATGATACACTTGTGTCACGATACACATGTGCCATGATATACATGTGTCACAATCACTTAGATAAGGACCTAGACTAACGACTAGTCTCTGAAATAAAAACATTTTACAGAAAAAAGTTCATAGTAAGAAAAAAAAAATATAATGAAAAGGAGCCCTGCAACTTTCATTTTGAAGCTGTGGAAATCTAGACTTGCCACATTTTCTACACTTGCGTGGGCTTTCTTGGATATATTTGCTTCAGGGTCTGTACGACAGACTACTAAGGACCCTTGACTTATAATTCAAATGATTGAACCTGACCAACCATCTGTCCAATCCTCTTTCACATGCTAAGTTATAAAAGATCATATTTCCCTGGTATGTCAACAATATATTACAATTATGTGTAAGTACATGACACTTACTGCAGGTGTGTGGAATATTTTCTTGGTGTAGACGTTTGTCAGAGCTGTGAGGCTGTCCCATTCTCCAGCGGAGAAGGAAACAATCTTGCTGGTAGCAATCAGCTGGACTTTGGTTGTCAAAATGTCCCACTGAAAAGGAAAAAAAACCCATTTCATAACAAAAAGAACCCAAAAACAAATGACAGTGACGCATTCGCTAGATTTGGAGAAGACACTTTTATGTTCGGTACTAAATGATGGGTTGACTTACAGGCCATGGTCAAAGATCTGTAACACTGACGGTCACGGTGAGCTAAATACATAAAAAATATATATATTCTACTTTAAAAAACAAACTTTTGGTAGTCATCCTTCTAAAATACCCATTGAAACAAGATACTACTAATGATGATAATTGTTATGATGATGATGATGATGATGATGATGATGATGATGATGATGATACCATCTCCCAGTCCAAGTTACTTATAATTTTAAAGGTGTATTTATAACTTAATGAATTCCATGAACCAGGAGAATGCTCACTGATGTTGTATTAACACTGTCAACGGATCAGTAGGCATTCAGTTCTCAGCTCCCTGAGGAGAGTACCACGGAAATGGCTGTGAGGCAGATGTTTAACAGTTATTACCTGGGATCACTTCATTCTATGGGGCACATTAACTACTTGTAAGCCAAGGCATAAATAAAAGTCACTGCACAGGGAAACACCACAGTGAATGGGTAAGTTATGTTTATGCCGCTCTTAGCAATATTCCAGCAATATCACGGTGGGGGACACCAGAAATGGGCTTCACACACTATACCTGTGTGGGGAATCAACCCGGGTCTTCAGCGTAACGAGCGGACGTTTTTAAACCACTAAGCTACCCCACCGCCCCAACATCACATGTAACAGATTAGCTTCAGTGCAGGGAACGACCGATGCCCTTGTGACTCTTTGGAGTCAAGTAGCAGAACACAGTCCCTCAACCATTTCAACTCTCGGAGACAAATTTCCCCCTATCTGTGACCTCAGCGCTCTGCATCACCCACCACAACTGCTTGTGTTATTGTGCTTGCTATGTTAATTTTACCTAGTCTCCCGTAACTTGCTTCTCTCAATACCAGATAAACTCAGACAGGTGATACGTACACTTGCCATGTGAAATAGACCACATAACTTAATTTGCCATGGCTACTGGCAAGGGTCATCTTGTTATCCTGGGGAATGTAACACAATTCCTGAGGGTTGATGAGATTTTCACTGTTACACATGAGGAATAAAAGGTAAATTTCCAGCTTGGCAATAAATCTCAAACTACTCCTAGGCTGAGATGAATGAGAGTGCTGCCACTGAAGACAGCAGCCTAAAGAAGCATCTTGTTTTATAAAAGAGATAGACCATAACCAGGTTCATGTTACTTGTCAAGTATGCATTACTTCGAAATAGTGAGTGCCACACTACCGGTACTCTGCTGTCGACAACATTCCAGCTAAATAAGACTCTCTTATATAATATAAATCTGTGTATGAACAATCCTGGGAAGCATTTGTGTTTGTTCTCTGGGGACCTATACTGTCTTTACCTAGGTGTAGGAATCCTGTACTGGTCCAGTACATCTACAGGAGGCAAACATGGGGTTCTGAGATCCTTTACTTTTCTGGTACCTTCACAGTGGCTAACGGGTGAGTGAGTGGGATGGTTTCATTTATTACGGCTTCAAACAGTATTTCTGCTATGTTCTGCTGGGTTAGTTTAATGTGAGTGAGTGAGTGAGTGAGTGAGTGAGTGAGTGAGTGAGTGAGTGAGTGAGTGAGTGAGTGAGTGAGTGAGTGAGTGAGTGAGTGAGTGAGTGAGTGAGTGAGTGAGTGAGTTTAGTTTTAAGCCTCACTCAACAATATTCCAGCTATATGACGGCTGTCTGTAAATAATCGAGTCTGGACCAGACAATCCAGTGAGCAACAGCATGAGCTCGATCTGAGCAATTGGGAACCGATGACATGTGTCAACCAAGTCAGTGAGCCTGACCACCCAATCCCGTGAGTGAGTGAGTGAGTGAGTGAGTGAGTATGTTTTATGCCGCTTTTAGCAATATTCCAGCAACACCATGGCAGGTGACACCACACATGGGCTTCACACATTGTACCCATGTGGGAATCGAACCTGGGTCTTCGGCCTAACAGGCAAACACTTTAACCATTAGGCTACCCCACCGCCCCCAGTTTAATATGACTAAAGGGTCTACAAACAGTCCTTGTCAAACAAACAGAGGCTGAAATCATGAGCAGCAGCCCACAGGTCATGATGACACAAAGCCACTGAACTGAGCCAACCAATCCACTTTAGACTTGTGACAAGCATGGATATGAAGGTCCTATGTTTCAGCTATTCATGGGGAAACATTTTACCTTTGAATTGACCCACAAAGCTTGGTGCAAAGAAACCTCAAAAGATCAGAACAAACAGAATCCTAATCTATGTTCTGGTCTATTGGTGTCTCCACTTGGAAGAGAGTACAGGAGGTAGAGTCTAGTGCATGAAGTACACACTTGGAAATGTAGTTCTCTTAAACTTTGTTTATAAAAAGAAGCTTTGAACAATATGCTTTTGGACAAATAAAGGTGATAAATGCATTGAAATTGATGGCCAACTGATTACACTGATGATGATAGTATGATTAATAAAATATACTATTAAACACATTCCTATACCTGTAGTAACTTCTAATTAAAATGAACATACAGAAAAGAGATGTTTCTTGTTTACAAATGTGCCAAACTATCCTTGTTCCCGTCATCTCCAATACAACAGTTTCACTAGTTGATACGTCAGAGTGATATGTAAACCAGGAAATGGCATTGAATCTGCAAACACTCAACCAGTGAGAGTCTCAACAATAATCTCAAGCCCTGCATGTTATCTGACCCCTAGACAATGTGTGCACACAGACACATGCTTCCTGTAGACTCTGATAACAAAGCAACTGTGTCAGAGAGAGTAGACCGACATTTAGTCCTGTAAATAAATAAATAAATAAATAAATAAATAAATAAATAAATAAATAAATAAATAAATAAATAAATAAATAAATAAATAAATAAATAAATAAATAAATAAATAAATAAATAAATAAATAAATAAAGAGTGACAGAGTGAGGTAGAAAGAGAGAGTGAGAGAAAGTGACAGATAGAGTGAGTGAAAGTAAGACAGAGAGAGAGAGAATAAATCCATCCATCCACCAACCCACCATCCATCCATCCATCCATCCATCCATCCATCCATCCATCCATCCATCCAAAAGGCAGGCAATCTAGTCAAGAGCTGAGGCAAGCTAGATTGCCCAATAATTCTACATTTGAGTTGGTTTCCATTTTAATTTATTCTCATTTCTGTGAAACGGACTACACACAGAGGTCAACGTGAGTAGTGTTATGGATGCATGTTAAGGTCCATTGGGAAAATAATTGTGACTGGGGTTTCACACACAAAAAAATATCATTATTAGCTGCACATCATGGCTCTTCTGTTCAGGGTAAAAAAAGCCAGTATATATTCACCCTCCAACAAATTGGCAGAAAACAACCTTACCTTGTATTCAAAGGAAAACTGTTCATCCGGAGGCATCACCAATATCTGTAAAGATAAAAAGTAAATATTCTGTATCCTATATAAATATTTTAATACCCTATGGATACAGTGTTAGACTAAGCCACTGCTCTTGTGTGTTGATTCTCTACACTGAACGTGCTGAGTGACAGGCACCTTTAATATTGATTATCCTCTCTATGTAGAAGTTATGAAAAAGTCTAAAGTCATACACATGGTTAGGCCTAGTCTGTCGTACAGACCCTGAAGCAAATATATCCAAGAAAGCCCACGCAAGTCTAGAAAATGTGGCAAGTCTAGATTTCCTCAGCTTCTGAAAATGAAGAAAGTCTCAATGCTCCTTTTCATTATATTTTAATTTTTTTTTACTATGATTTTTTTTCAGTAAAATATGTTCATTTCAGAGACTAGTTGTTAGTCTAGGTTAGGCCATTCACTAGACATTGTCTTAGCTCCCTATACTGACATGAGAAAGCTCCTTTAACACTGACTAGATATTGTTTGAACTCCATAAATAAAGATGACAAGGCTCCCTAACACAGTATTAGCTTATACGACTGACTAGGCACTAGACTAATGCTTAGTCTCTGAAAATATTTGATTTTAATAACAACAAATAAACCCATTTCAATTGAAAAGGAGCCCCAGTGACGGGCGATTCAGAACAAAGATGAAATCTAGACTTGCTTCATTTCAAGCTTTAGCACTGCAGGGAGGGCTAGGCAGTAGGGAAAATAATGTGGTTCAGGGACTGTGAGACAGACTAGATAGGCATTGTCTTTGCCCCCCTAAACCGACATGAGAAAGCTCCTTTAACGCTGACTAGATGTTGTCTGAACTCCATAAATTGAGATGACAAGACTCCCTAACACAGCATTAGTTTATGCCACTGACTGGGCACTGTCTTTACCCCTTACATTGACATGAGAAAGCTCCTTTCACACTAACTAGAAGTCTCCTCATACTGAGATAACACAACCCCTTTAACACTGCAATAGATCAAACTACTGATAAAACTGTTGACCTACTGAACGCAGCAGGCAAACATGCACAACAATATGAAATATCAGCTACAACACACACAATCCCCCAAAACATCCGGCAGCCACACACGCCTGTCATTCAGTCCGGGCTGCAGCATAAACTGAGCCCCTGAAATGCAAGGGGTTTCAGGTTGTGTCACGCGATACTGTTCCAGTGCTCAACATTTTAATGCAAAAACTTGTTTGGTATGAAATTCTGTTGACATCGAATTACAATGATTTATTGTCCCTCTAACTTCAACTGGATCTCTCCACACAAATGTGTTATGGCTGGTGCTTGAGAGCAATGTCTATATTCGTACACAGGTAGACACGATATAAGGCTGTGTTTGGTTGGGTTTTTTAGACATTTTTTGTCTGTTCCCTGTCCAAAGCTGAGAGGATCGTTTAATAGAGTTATATACTTCATATCCTGTGTCGTACACACTAAAGCTTTCAAAAGCTTTCAAACAATTTACTTTTCCATAATTTATCCAACAACTTAAATTACAAATCTGGAGATATTTTTTTAAAAGTTAATGATAAATCACTCCTAGCACAGGAACAGATTAACCGCCATCATTTGTGATTATATTGTATACAAACTCTTGCATAATTACAATATGTGAAGAATCTAGGGAGGGGTCGATATGCGATGATCGATCTCCAGCATCATTCATAAATAAGTCACACCTGTCATGACATCTAATTAATAAGGGACAGGTACACACATTCCCCTTGGCAACCATTCATCGGGTGATCTGGGTGTAGAAGTATCAGCTGGGAATACTTGGGTACAGTCCCACCATGCAGCTGTCATGTAACTTGGTTTAATAACGTTTTAAGATTTTGTGAGTGAGTGAGTGTGAATGCATCCATGCATGTTTCTATCAGTGAGTGAGCGAACGTTTACTTGAATGAGTCTGAATTTATATTGTATTTAAGCGCCAGCCTACTGTCAAACCATGCAACAGGTTAACTTTGATACTCCAAAGAATACAGACTCCAAGCCAACCAGTCTCTGTATTATCCCCTTACAGAACACAGGCTGAGCAACAACAAGTACCCTCTTTTAAAATTGTGTGGTATGACACTGCCAGGATTCAAACCCCTGACATTCCATTCTGACAAGACAGCTATTCAATCCAAACAGCCATGGAGGCAGTATTACAGATCTGTAATGATAGTCAGTACTTGGGCAGAATCGCTACACATACAACACCCTGTAGGTCTGGGCTAGAATTGGTCTCAAGCAACCCATGCTTGTCGCAAGAGGCAACTGACAGGATCGGGTGGTCAGGTTCGCTGACTTGGTGGACACATGCCATCGTATCACAATGCTCATGATGTTCACTGGATTGTCCGGTCTAGACTCGATTATTTACAGACCACCGCCATATAGCTGGAATACTGACGAGTGCAGCATTTAAACAACAAACCAGCCAAACAACCCAATATTCAAGTAGACACTTCTCATAGTGTAGTAAGATCAGAGCTCCAGATACGATTTAGCTCATGTGGGTACTGTACCCACTGTCTTTTTTTGGAGTGGGTATTATGAATGTTGAGTGGGTATTTCATTTTCCGTTACCCACTGCTTTCAAATATGTGCGTATTTCAGTCATTTTACTCACCTAAGTAATATGTCATTGAGTAAGTTTACTAAGCAGGTATGTCCTGCCTTATGTCATACCTAATCAAAACCAACTTTAATATAAGGGAAATGATTTCATAAAAAAATCACTCATCCTATACTGACAAGACAACACTTGTCCTATACTAACAGTACAACTTGATAGCAATCGATGTCTTTTTCATTACGCAAGTGATTTTTATAAATATATTCTGTACGCATTTGTTTTAAACTTTTTGCATATCTTACATTTTAAATGCGTAATTGGTATGCAACAATTATTTTTCAATGCGTAATTGGAAATTTTCTATGTGTATTTTACCCGGATAAGCAGCTTTTCTGGGCCTCTGGTAAGATTCTACATGGGTTACTAAGAATCCCAGAAATGCTCACTGCAGAAAATGTTCCAGAAATGGAGTTTGAAATACTGACACAATTTTAATGTTTGAACTCAGGTCTGACACAAAAACGCACAGTATCCCCAGTGTCCAAGTTTCCACAATAGCAAATGTCCGCTGTTTGTTATAAAACAGCTCATGAGACATCCAAGATGGAGAATCTGAGTGAGACACGCCCTTCCTCTCTAACTTCATCAAGTATCCTTCTACCTTTCATAACAGCGTTAGCAACCAAGACGTTCATCTACATGCTTCCGTGATTATATCACACCTCTCAGAACCATTACATAATTTCAACAGAACAGAACTTGATTACATTTCCGCCATTTAAGAGATTTATATTATGTTTATTTCTATTCTCAATGACAATATACATACTTTAAAAGTGTATGGACAGTTTACAAATTTACTTGAGAAACCTTTGAAGATTAAAACATACTGCCATGAAAAGAAATGGGTGAGTCAAATTTCAAAATTAACACCAGACTTTCTTGGTCACTGAGGTTGACCTCTTGTGTCCCTTTTATGACATGTGGCCAACAGCGAGAGTGAGTGAGTTTAGTTTTACGCCGCACTCAGCAGTATTCCAGCTATATGGCGGCGGTCTGTAAATAATCGAGACTGGACCAGACAATCCAGTGATCAACAGCATGAGGATCGATCTGTGCAATTGGGAACCAATGACATGTGTCAACCAAGCCAGTGAGTCTGACCACTCGATCCCATTAGCAGATGCCAACCCTATTTGGGGCCTAAGTGTAATACTAGAGGTCAAAAAGTGTAATTGGACCTAAAAAGTGTAATACTTGTCTGCCGATCGCTCCAACATGGTACACGTTTTCACGAAAGGAAGATTCTAGACAGAAACACATGTGACCAATCATTATGAATCTCCATACATCGAAAATTGTTGGTCATGTGACTCAACATACTTTAATTCCTTGCAAGTTAATTGGAATGAGTGCGATGCTAAGAGTAAGCGATTCCTATCGGTGCAAGGCCATTTCTGCACCCCTGCACCTGTGCGTTACGAAACACTTCCCTGTGAAAATTTATCCACTTAACTGATTTTCGAAAAACGAGTAGAAAAGCGTAATTTTCGCAGATTAAGTGTATTGGCGTAATTTAATGGTCAAAATCGTAATAATTACGCCTAAAGCGTAAGGGTTGGCATCTCTGCATTAGTCGCCTCTTATGACAAGCATGGGTTACTGACAATTCATTCTAACCCGGACCTTCATGGGTCCAACATTGAGATATGAATCAGCTTCAGTGTATAAATATATATAAAAATATATACCTGCAAAGCAAAAAGGAAAATCTATAGAATGATGCTTAATTTCATTCTAAATTTAAATTAATCTGTGACTCGGATATGGATCCATCTTAAAGAACATTTAAAAAATACCTGATTATGGATTTGACTGCCCAAAGTCATATACACAATCCTAATTCTTTTTATAGGTTTAACATATATTGTCATCCCAATAACATTAATGCTGAATAATTAGAATAAAACAACAGCGCAAAGACAACAGTTACAATACAAGTAACTGTAAATGTTTAAAATAATTATTAATCAAATGCATTTCAAATTTATGTCTGGTTGCAATGACAACCTACAGACCGGAAAGCCTTCACTGTATGAGGCACATGTATACGTGTTAACATTTAAAAATGGTAAACATCCTCCCCATTAAAATAGTTGGCATTCATTTCATTGCCACTAAAACTGACGCACCCCAAACATTTTTAAATCATCTAGAATATAAAATATTCACCTACTCAATTTGTGTGCTTTATTTTGACCCATTAAATGTTAGCTCAGAATCTGTATTAAACAACAAAATTAAAATTATGGCGTCTTAAGAGCCCTAGTGAGAACCTGAGGAAATCTAGACTTGCTTCGTTTAGGGCTTTAGCATTGCAGGGTGAGCTTGGCAGTAGGGAATGTGGCTGAGTGACTGAGACAGA